CCCTGACCAGCCCGGCCCGGCCGCCTCTCACCCCCTGCAGGATCCCGGTGCGGATCTCCGGGCCTTTGGTGTCCAGAGCAATGGCCACCGGTCGGTAGCTGACCGGGGAGGCCGCAAAGCTCTCCACCGCCTCCCGGACGTTGGCGATGGACTCAGCGTGGTACTGGGGGCAGAACCGAGTGGGGGTTTCAGGGGGAGGTGGCCGCGACCCGGAGGCATCCTCTGGCCCCGCCGCCTCCCGCGATCCCATCCCGAACCTCGTGGGAGCCGTGGGAGAAGTTGAGTCGCGCAATGTTCATCCCGGCCTTGATCATCTCCTTGAGGCGCTCTACGGAGCGCGATGCCGGCCCTGGAACCAGAGATCCGGCTCGGACAACGTTCTCCCCAAACCGGGAGGCAAGCAAGCCCACCACCGCCACCCTCAGAGATGCCGCGCCCCAGGAGTCCCGTTACCTGACCTTTAGTCCCTGACCCTCCCCTGCGCATAAGTCAGAAACCCCCTTCCCCTCCAGCCAACAACTTGGGGAGGCATCAGGTCCGAGGCAACCGTGTCTGCAGTAAGTGCTGCAGGGTGGGTGTAACCCCAGCGTATGAGGGGTACAGCCAGGGATGGGTGCCAGGGGAGGGCCTGTGGGGCTGTAGAGCTGATAGGCCTCATTTTGGTTGAGGAGAGTTGAATTCTACCGATTTCTGCTCTCTGACAGGGCAGCTGTGTAACTGAGAGCCAGGTGGCCAAGCGCTCCGGCCCTACCTACTAGTGCATTGGGCCTACTCCCGGTCACCTGTTCAAAGACTTAGACCCAGCCATTCTGCAGTCCTCTCTGTCATCAGTGTTTTCCTTTTCATTGTCAGGTCTCCTTCCGATCACCTGACCTGTTCAAAGACTTAGACCCAGCCATTCTACAGTCCTCTCTGTCATCAGTGTTTTCCTTTTCATTGTCTCATTCTCATCAGCATGTAAACCTGCTGTTATTTCTTTCATCATAAAAAATTATCTTGCCCTGCCCTAGCCGGTTTGGCTCAGTGGATAGAGCATAGGCCTGCGGACTGAAAGGTCCCGGGTTCAATTCCAGTCAAGGGCACATGCCCGGGTTGCGGGCTCGATCCCCAGTGGGGGGCATGCAGGAGGCAGCCGATCAATAATTCTCTCATCATTGATGTTTCTATCTCTCTCTCCCTCTCCCTTCCTCTCTGATTACAAAAATAAATAAAAAAATTAAAAAAATTATCTTGCCCTGCTCGTGTGGCTCAGTGGTTGAACATGGACTTATGAACCGGGAGGTCAGGGTTCAATTGCGGGTCAGGGCACATGGGGGAGGGAGGACTGGTCCCCAGTAGGGGGCGTGCAGGGGGCAGCTGATCAGTGATTCTTATCATTCTCATAATTGTGGGGCATGCAGGAGGTTCAAGCCCAAAACCCACACATGTGCCCTGACTGGGAACTGAACCGAGACCTCCTGATTCATAAGTTGATGCTCAACCACTGAGCCATGTCGGCCAGGCCTCTCTCATTATTGATGTTTCTATCTCTCCCTCTCCTTTCCTCTCTGAAATAAAAAAAAAAAAATTAAAAAATATATATTCCCAGTTCTCCCTCTAGCTATAGTCTTAATTATTTTCTATATATTTTCATTGATTTCAGAGAGGAAGGGGAAGGGAGGGAGAGATAGAAACATCAATGATGAGAGAGAATCATTGATTGGCTGCCTCCTGCACACCCCACACTGGGGGTGGGGCCTGCAACTCAGGCATGTGCCCTGACTGGGAATCAAACCATGACCTCCTAGTTCAAAGGTTGACGCTTAACCACTGAGCTATGTGGGCCAGGCTACAGTCCTATTTCTTTGCTCTCCTTTGCAGCAGAACTCATTGTAAGAGTTATCTGTACTTGCTGCCTCCAGTTCCCCACCCCTATACTTTGTACCCACACCAGCCAGTTGTTCACCCCCATCTCTCCACTGCATCTGTTCTTGTTAAGGTCACCAAGAAGCTCCGTGTTTTTGCTAAATCTAATAGTCAATTCTCAGTCCTTGTCCTGGCTGGCCCATCGGCGGCATTGGCTACATGTCCCTGATGTGCCTTCTCCAGTTGGCCTCGGGGACACCGCACTCTCTTGACTCACTCCTACCTCACTGGCTCTCCTCAGCCTCACTTGCTGCTTCTTCCCCTTAACATTAGATGTCCCGTTCTCTTCTTTGTCATTTCACCTTCGTTCCCTTGGTGGTCTCAACTAGTTCTGTGGCTTTACATACCGTCTATATGCTGACAATTTATATCTCCAGTTTTGCATCCCAGATTTATATCTCCAATTCAGACCTCTCTCCCAAACCCAGAGTTGCGTGTATCTGACTGCCTACTCTGGATCACACTCAAATGTCTAATATGCATCTCAAACTCAACTTTCCCCCAACTGAACACCTGATCTCCTCCCCCACACCTCTCCACCAGCCTTTCAGTTGATAATGAATGCATCCTTCTAGTTCCCACACCCAAACACTTGGAGTCATCCTTGACTACTTTTTCATCCTCATCCCACCCCACATCCAATCCATTGAGAAATCCTTCAAAAGGCATTCAGAATCTGATCACTTCGTTTTTCTTTTAAAATTTAAATCTTTTTCTTTCTTCTCTCTCTCTTTCTCCCTCTCCCTCTCTCTCTTTTTTGTTAACCCTCACCTGAGGATATTTTTTCCATGGACCCTTTTAGAGAGGGTGTGAAGGCGGGGAGGTGGGGCAGACAGAGAGACACATCCTCGGGAGAGACACATGGATTGGTCGCCTGGAGGAAGATGCCCTTGACTGGGAATCGAACCCTGGACCCTTGGGTCCCTGGGCTGACTCTCTAACCACTGGGAAAACTGACCAGGGCTTATTTTTCAATCACAGTTTACATTCAGTAGAATCTGATCACTTCTCAGCACCTCCATTATCACCACCTAGTTTGACCCAGAAATGCTGCAGGAGCAGCCCCTCCCCACCGGCAATCTATTTGCAGTCCAGCAGCCAGGGTGGTTCTATTCAAACATAAGTAAGAGCCTGTCACTTTCCCGCTCAGAATTATGCAGTAGTTTCCCATTTTGAAGGAAACAACTCAAATTCTATTAAGCCCGACATGACCGTCCCTCCCCAAAAGTCCCTTTATTTTATACTCTTCCCCCTCAATAGTTTCTAGCCATCCCAGCCTCCTTGACGTGGGGTTTGCACTGCCCATTCCCTCTGCTGGAACTCTTCTTCCTGTTCATCTACACGCCTCATTCTCTCATCTCCTGCAAGTGCTTGCTCAGTGTCTAGTTTTCAAAACAATGTCTCCTCTGACTTTCTCTTCAGCACCGCAGCCTTCTCCCGCCCCGCATCCCTGGTGCCCCTCACCATGCTCTATTGTTCTTTCTTCCATAGTATTGGTAACTTGCTAACATCATGCATCCTTCTAGTTCCCACAACCAAACACTTGGAGTCATCCTTGACTACTTTTTCACCCTCATCCCACCCCACATCCAATCCATTGAGAAATCCTTCAAAATGCATTCAGAATCTGATCACTTTGTTTTTTTTTTTAATTTAAATCTTTTTCTTTCTTCTCTCTCTCTTTCTCTTTCTCTCTCTTTTTTGTTAACCCTCACCTGAGGATATTTTTTCCATGGACCCTTTTAGAGAGGGTGTGAAGGCGGGGAGGTGGGGCAGACAGAGAGACACATCCTCGGGAGAGACACATGGATTGGTCGCCTGGAGGAAGATGCCCTTGACTGGGAATCGAACCCTGGACCCTTGGGTCCCTGGGCTGACTCTCTAACCACTGGGAAACTGACCAGGGCTTATTTTTCAATCACAGTTTACATTCAGTAGAATCTGATCACTTCTCAGCACCTCCATTATCACCACCTGGTTTGACCCAGAAATGCTGCAGGAGCAGCCCCTCCCCACCGGCAATCTATTTGCAGTCCAGCAGCCAGGGTGGTTCTATTCAAACATAAGTAAGAGCCTGTCATTTTCCCGCTCAGAATTATGCAGTAGTTTCCCATTTTGAAGGAAACAACTCAAATTCTATTAAGCCCGACATGACCGTCCCTCCCCAAAAGTCCCTTTATTTTATACTCTTCCCCCTCAATAGTTTCTAGCCATCCCAGCCTCCTTGACGTGGGGTTTGCACTGCCCATTCCCTCTGCTGGAACTCTTCTTCCTGTTCATCTACACGGCTCATTCTCTCATCTCCTGCAAGTGCTTGCTCAGTGTCTAGTTTTCAAAACAATGTCTCCTCTGACTTTCTCTTCAGCACCGCAGCCTTCTCCCGCCCCGCATCCCTGGTGCCCCTCACCATGCTCTATTGTTCTTTCTTCCATAGTATTGGTAACTTGCTAACATCCTACGTAATCGGTTGTATTTATCCTTTACTGTCTCACCCAGCGAGATTGTCAGCTCCCCAGGGTAGTGATCTTTGTTTATTTCACTGGTCAACTCCCAGGGCCCAAAACCTTATCTACCAAGTGCTCAACAAATATTTGCTGAATGAATGACTCTGTCAAACATGGAGACGTCTCAAAGGAGACAAAAGATGGGGAAGCACCTTAAGAAACACCCAAGAAGCCCTGTGATACTGCGGGTGCCGGAGGGTGCTTACCAATGGTGGCGATGATGCTGGTACTGCGAGCAGCCACGGGCTCCGAGTCGATGTCCAGCAGGCAGAGGTGCTCCAGGAAGGTGTCTGCCATTGCAGCTGACAGCTGCTGCCTCTGGAAGAAGGCGGTGCCCAGCTCCTGGGTCAGCTGGGCCACGCTGGCCCGCCGTAGGTAACCTGCTGGCCCTGCAGAGAAGGAGGCCCCATGGGCACCTGCCTCTCCTCCCCTTCAGCGCAGCACACCCTCCATTCCTTCCCTCAGCTCTCAGTCCTTCCTGTGAGCTGCGCAATACGCAGACCTTATCTTACATAGTCACAAGGGTCCTACCAAGCAGGCATGGTTACATGCTCTACAATGATCCCCATTTTACAGATAAGGAAACAGAGGCCGAGAAAGATGAAATAAATTGCCCAATATCATATAGCTTCTAAGTAACAGAGGTGGGATTCACCTCCAGGTCTAACTCCAGGCTCAAGTCCAGCTATCTGACACTCACAGATAGCTTCTAAGTAACAGAGGTGGGATTCACCTCCGGGTCTGACTAACTCCAGGCTCAAGTCCAGCTATCTGACACTCACAACTCCCGACTTCTTGGACTTCTTACCCTTCAGCCGCGGACTTCCCTCAGCGCCCTCCCCTCCCCCATATCTAATCCACAGTAGCCCCTCATTATCCAGGCCCAGAATCACCCAGTTCCCTTTTCTAAGGTCCCTGTTGTCTTCCTTCCAGCTGCTGGCGTCTCCATCCCCTCCTCTGAGTTTCCTCAGCCCTCCCGCTAATCCAGGTCTTGAGGTCCCTGTAGCTTGACTCAGGCCAGCGGTACCCTCCATGCCACTGCACGCCTGCCGTCTCTGGTGGTCGGCTCCACACCGTCAGGCTGTCAGAGGACCAGGCCAGGCTGGGCTGGGGATCAGTTCTGCCTACTGGTTAAAGTGTCACCAATGTCTCCCCTGTCACTGGGAGCCCTGTGCACCAGGGGTCAGAGTCCAAGAACCCCATGGCTCCCATGCTGCAGGCTCCTAGGAGCTGGAGAAGAGGCCCAGACCAGGGTCCATAGCTTAACGCAGGGGACACCCTCATAAACACTGACCCTCCCCAAGCCCCTACCAGAGAGCAGCAGATATGCATCTTTTGCACCCTCCACCCCCACTCCTGATTTCTACCCTCGTCTCCCCCTCTTTTCACTGGCTTCTGTTGACCCTCTTACCTCCTGGAGCCCCAATCAGGATGGACTTTGCGAAGTCCCTTTGGGACTTAGGGATACATGACCAAAACCGCTGGGGTCCCGTGTTCTCGTTCTCCTGTACTGACATGCTTCCAAAGTGTGGGCTGGGGCTGCCGGACTCTGCAGAGAGAGGGGGACAGGATAACAAAACTGCTGGTCTTATCTAAGGGAGCCAGAGAGAAGAAAAGGGACACACCCAGTAGGCTGCCCCTGTCCCCACAGAGTCCCTCCCCCAGACCTACTGGCTCTCCTCCCTTGTCTTCTGGCATTCCCCCCCTGTCATCCATATTTCCTGATAATTTTTAATCCATTTCCATTCACTCGCCATCAACCTGAATAGAGATTTTTTTTTTTTTGCCAGTGATATGGCCCCTGGGAAACGGGGTTTAGGGTCAGGGCTGGAGCCTGAGGAAAGGGGATGGGAGCATTTGGTAGTGTGGTGGGACTCCCTGGAAGGGCTCTGAGAGCAGGCTAGCCCTGGCCACCATGTGCTCATTGCCCACTCTCCAGTGTTTACTGAGCACCTCCTCTGTGCCAGGTACTGAGGATGCAGTGGTGAGCAAAACAGACAGGGCCTTTGTCTTTCTATGGAATCTACAATATGATGGGAAGACAGACGATAAACGAGTATCAAACAGATAAAGCTGTAACTGCGCACTGTGTAAGTGCTATAGTGGAATCGATCAGGGTGCTGGAGCAAAGACCGTGGGAGGAGGGAGGGGAGTGAGCTTGGGATCCTAGGCTTTGTCTGCAGAAAACAGAACACGTAAAGATGGACACATGATAGCTAGAGGGAACGTGATAGACTTCAGGGACAGGGACTCAGTTCTTGTGCTTGGAGGTGGGGAGGGACATGGGATGTTTAAGGTTGGCCTGGAAATTTTGTACTGATTCTCAGACAGCTGGGAGGACAAGAATCCCAGAGGTTCAAGTCCCAAGTTGCCAACAGGAAATAGGGGTTGGTGCCCCAAAGCATCCCTTATCCTATGCAGCCGAGGGACCGAGCTTTGACTGAAATCGAGTCAGACAGGAGAAGCAGTCCGGCTGACCCTGGGTCCACAAGTGACCATGTGAGATTATCTGCACTTTGTCACAGGGTCAGGCAGCCTGAACGGGAGGCGTGCGGGTGAGAAAACAGGGAGAAAGACAACAGGCCTCCAAACAGAACCAGTGAATTCAGGTAAGATCTCCTTCCCCCCCTCCACCCCCCCATGTACTGTACTGTGACATCCTGACACATACTCATGTGACTGCCCACATGACATCAAACACACATCAACATAGACAAAGGATGGAACAACCCCCCTCCGCATGCCCTGCACCATAGCAGACTCAGGGTATGAGGTCACCAAGGTCAGGTCCCTGCCCAGGCGGAGAGACAGGAATGCTAGCAGTTAGCACTCCTGTTAAAGTATTACAGCTGTCTCCCCTCCCCCGCTTCCCTCCTTCACCCAGCCCTTAACCCCCCCAGGTCTTCACCATCCTATTGTCGTGTCCATGGGCTATGCATATAAGTATGTAGGTTCTTTGGTTTCTCTCTCCTCGTCCCCCAACCCCCCCATCGAGGTACGCTCGAACAGACTTCGTTTACAGTCTGTTCCATGCCTCCCTGCTTCGGGTCTTATTTGGTTGGTCAATTCATTTTGTCCACTAGGTTCCACAGTAGTTAAGATTCATAAAGTATGTCCCATGGGGTGATGGAGCTGTGTTCAGGACACAAAGGAGCACTAGGAGAAACTGTGCCTTGTGGGCGAAGGGGAGATCAGGGTATCTTACTTCTTGTCTCTATGAATTTGTCTGCTCTAGGTAGCTCATATAAGTTGAATCATACATCATTGTCTCTTTGTGACTGGCTTATTTCACTTAGCATAATGTTGTCAAGGTCCTGTTGTAGCATGTATCAGAATTTCTGTGGAGAGCGCTACAGCGTTTGGACAGCTTCAAGCCTCAGAATGACTTGTGGCAAAGCCACATACAAGTCCCAGCTTGCATTCATGCATTCATGCGCACACACACGTGCACACACTGAAACACCCCCATTCCATTCATGCACACACACCATCTAACAGTAACACACACAGGATCTACACACCATAAGCACACGCTCATACAACACACTCACACAATTGCACAGACTCACCTGACCCTCCTACACTTTTCTCACAGGGACATACACATGCATGCACACGCATGTTCCTGCTCTCACACAGGCACACAAAGTCCAGACTACCGGTAAGGCGACTTTATTCTGCAAACCATCCAATACCGGCCCAGCCTCCCCCGGGAAAGGCCCTCCTTCCAGGGAAAGGTCCGCCGGCCATTTGACATTGGCAAGAACATTGTAAAATCTTGCCCTCGTTTTGCTTTGTGATCTGACTATAAAATAAAGCTTCGGCTTACAGGCTGTGTCACTGTTTCCTCATCCAGGCACAGTGATCCACCTGGTCCCAACTGTATTCTGACGCGGGTCTGGGTGGAGAGACTGCGCGTCACGTTCGTCGTCTGCAAACGGAGATAAGACACCGTGCGGAGGGGCGGTGCGATACCAGCCGCGGACGTGCAGAGGTTGCTCCCTGTGCACATGGTGACGCCTCTCCCACCTCAGGAATCAGAACCTCGCCTGTGGGGCCCTGCATCTGTATTTCCAAAAGTTCCATAGAATTTGTTCAAAATGTAGTTACACTTATTCGAATCGATTTTTGCACAATACACAGTTCAGACGTACAGGGTAGAGGCCAAGCGTTTCTCCTTCCCGAGTTCATCCCCCTTCCCAGCCACTCAGTCCCCTCAGCAAGTTATCAGATTTCTGAAGGAAAGTATTCTCCCAGAAATCGACAATGCAGGGATAAACGATATACATCTTCCCCTTTTTCATGCAAATGGCAGCATGGAACTATACATCCCAGTCTATGCCTCTTCCCTCACTTAGATCCCAGACTCCTTGCTTGTGAAGAGAAGAGTTAATTTTGCTCACAGCTTTTATAATGGACACCCTGAACTCCATCTGTGGAATCCTAACTTGCCTGGGGAAACTAGCCAGAGAGGAGCTAGAGGCAGAGGCCAGCCTGGGTCCTGGTGGTCTCTTTTTCTTTTTTAAAAAATTGTGGTCGCCCTGGCTGGTTTGGCTCAGTGGATAGAGCATTGGCCTGCGGACTGAAGGGTCCCGGGTTCAATTCCG